GGGGAAGAGGAAGATGGAGGCGAGGACAATGGAGGAGTGGAAGAGGGGGAGGACGACAACGGGGAAGAGGAAGATCGAGGAGAGGACAATGGAGAAGAGGAAGAGGAGGAGGAGGACGACAATGGGGAAGAGGAGGAAGAAGATGGAGAGGATGACAACGACGAAGAAGAGGAAGATGGGGAAGAAGACTGTGCGGAAACTGACAATGGGGAGGAAGGTGAAGAAGAGCCTGGTGTCTCCGAAAAGAGTGGAGTGAAGGTAAAATTTCTGCTAGTGCCGTCTCCAGTAGGGCCTCTACCTAATGGATGATGGTTTAGCACAATACCTCGCCAGTGACACAGATGGATTAACCATGATTGCTAACATTAAGATACAAATGACCACAATGTGATCTCAGTGGATGTGGATTTATCTGCTCTGCTGCCCGTTTCAGCCTTTACATTGTATTCTGCCATCCACCCATTTCCTCATGCCTTCTTCCAAGTTCAGGGCGGCAGGGGAGCTGGAGCCTATCGTGGCAAGCAGCAGGCGCAAGGCAGGGTACACCCTGGGTGGGAAACTAGTCCATCGCAGGGCAGACACATGGACACAGACATGCACTAGCCCAGTTCTCCCAAAAGCCAGTTAACCTGGAAGAGAGCCACACGAACATGGGGAGAACATAACTCCACACAAACAACACCCCAGGTTAGGATTTTACATGTATGTTTCTGTGTACATTTACAGTACGCGTTACACTCCGCTAAAATGAAAATAATTGGAAATGTGCCGATTCAACAAATTATCTTTATTTTTATGATCAAATCTAGGTGTTTTATTAACCACAATTGCTATTATAAAGTTATACCAACATGCATTACATGAAAAGAAAAACACGCTGAATGTTTTGCACATTTGGTCTAACATATGTTTTACTTTTGGGTGTAATTTTCTGTGTTTGTCTGTAAGTACATTAGTTTAATCAGAAAATTGCATTTATCATTATTGGATTACATACATTTTAAAACACTGAATTTTACACAATAGGATAAGCATGTGAAGTCTATTACAAGATTTTAAGAGGATAAAACAGTATGCATGGAGAAAATGATTTTAAAACATATTTTATATGTTTACCACACAATAACTGAGCCTTCTGTTGATGTTTCAGCTTATTAACTTTCAGTATATACATCTTTATATTGTGCAAGAGAGTGTCTCTCCACTGAATGGAATTTTTTTTGTGTGGGATTTCATCATATTCAAATTAAAAATAAATTAGTAGTCTTAAATTATCACAATCTATGATAATTTAAAGTCAATTGTCTCCAACCATTTTCTCATGTTAATAGTGACTGTTCCCACCCACACTGGTTATCATGTGGATGTTGACTCCACTGCTGCATAGTGTGCCATTAACCCACATTAATTTTCACTATAGTTTAAGGTCACTATTTTGCTAGCCTAATTGGATTGGTCCTAATACCACACTTTTTTTTACAGGCACTGAAAAGGCAATACGGACATTGAAAGGCCTTTGTTTTATTTACAGATAAAATTATGATGGACATACAGTACACACTTATTCATGAAAAACTGTTACACCTGAAAAGCATGTTACACCTAAAGCATTTTGTTGGGTATTTTTTCTTAGACAGTTTCTTAGACAGCAATTAGTACTTCAACAGTAATTGTGTGAGTACAAAAAAAAAAAGTTGCTCAATAATTTACATTTATGGTGTCAGAATGCTTGGACTATATATTAGGTGTTACAAGTTATAGAGTATAATATTTGATGCATGTAACACTACAATGACAGAATTGAACTGCAAACTAGTAGTAACTGAATAACTGAATTCCACAATATGTAGTAAATCTATAGAAATTAGAATGATAAAATGTTCAAAATTATGAAAAAAAAACAAATTTAGCATGTTCTGAAACTGCAAATCCTACGTCCCAAATGCAGAAGAAAGTAACACCTGAGTATCAGATTTTTAAAAAAGGAAATTCGATATGAAACAGTCTGAGTTTTTGGTTTAATAACTTTACCATCAACAGAAGTTAGTGTCTATCGGGTTATTAATGCTCCATTAAATATGTACTCAGCTACTGCAGGTTACTAAGGATTTGTAAATCCAACCCCTAAGGTGCTGCCACAAAGTGTATTTGCAGAGTGAGGTGGTGATGCTGTGTGTGAGGTCTTCCTAGTTAATATTTATTAAGTCCTGTTTCACAGGCTCCAAAACATACTTGTACAATATATTCTGCTGAATGAAAATTCTGCATTCTTTATACTTCTTCACAGGGTAATGGAGATGAGGATGGCGACAATGGAGATGAAGACAACGGGGAAGATGAAGATGTGATCAGTGGCTGCAATGGCTATGATGAGACTGGAAATGGCATCACCAGAAATGGAGAGGGAGAGGGGGATGGCGAAGGGGCTGAAAACGGCGAAGACGGAGCCGAAGCTGATGGGGACGAAGAAGCAGAGGAGGAGGAGGAGGAGGGAGAGGAGGAGGAGGAGGAGGATGCCGAGGGCGATGAAGACGAAACCTCCGAAACGGTGGACTATGACGGCGCTGAAAACGGTGAAGACGAAGGCGACGCGGACCCCGGCACTGCAGGAGAGGGAGAGGACAACGAGGAAGGCAATGGGGAAGGAGGAGAAGGCGACGATGAGGAAGAGGGTGAAGAAGAGCAAGAAGAAGAGGGAGAAGAAACTGGCGATAACGGGGATGGAAAGGGCAGTGAAGACTCCGGCAATGCTGGACGTGGAGATTCTGATCATGAAGAAGACAACGAAGAACAGGAGAATGGGGACACAGAGGAAGAGTCTGATAACGGGGGAGAAGAACACACGATGTATACTGAAGAGGGCCCAGGAGATGACAGCAATCACAATGACATTGAAGAAGAGTACGACAGCGAAGACAACAGCGATAGTGAGCAGGAATATTACGAGACGAGGCAGCACGAAAATGCTATTAAAGAGAATTCCGAACAAACTGAGGAATACGGATCTGAAGAACACGGGGATTACAAAAGCCACGAAAATAATGGAGATGACGAATGAATAACAGCACTTTTATCCATGAAGAAAATGATGAAAAAATGTAGATTCCAGCAATATGATTTCGACAGCATTGACATGGGAGGTTGGTGAGAGACGAAACGGAGTTGTGCATCCCTGCATGATTTCCCGGGAAGGAAAATATATGTACGATTGTGACAGCAAACACAACATAAATCAAAACACGCTTTGCTTCAGCAAAAAAAAAACATTTTCAACATTTCTTTGCAAAACTGTTTTCTTCCATAAATACCTCAGCTTCAGGACAGTTATGTCACTTCTGTAACTAAAGACTGAACAAAATCATGAGGTCAGAATCTCGGGTAAAGACTGACAAAACATTGGTATTTTTTACCATTTGTATAAAATGCATAAATACTGTACATACATAAAACGATCAGTTTTGACTCTACTTGCAATGTAATTTACATGAAGTTTATCATTTTCTGTATTGAAAGCCCTATTTTATTAATACAGTTTGTGTTTGTACCAAATTTCCCAATGTGTAATTTGAATAAAGATCCACAGGGTTTTACATGAATAAAGCACTGCTTACTTGCATTGAACAACAGATATTAGCAAACATTTGTGTAACGTGAATACGACCTGTTTGTTGGCTTATGATTCCTTTTTGCAGTACTTTTGCTTCAGGTTACCATAAAGTTATAAAAATATCTAAGTATGATAGGTGTATATTCAAAATACAGTGTTAGAATATAACTAATGTAATTTCCAGCATTTCTTTCTATAGCATTATTCTTAAGAATCACAAATATGCTAATATAAGAAAGGAGACATACATTGTATGTCTGTCATTTCATTCAGTTGCCCCTTCATTCAACCTTTTCACTAACTTAAAATGAACCACTCAATGAACGGAGTGAAATGCACTATTCTTCTTAATGAACCTGTAAAACCGTTAAATGGAGAAAATCTTTGATGAAATCTATATACACAAGAACATTTTGTCGCCCCACCCTGACGAAGCCGAGTTTCCCTTACCGAGTTCAGTAAGATCTGATCAAGAAAGCTTTTCAATCCAGCCACCCCACCCCACCTCTTTTTTATCCCGCAGCTTAGAAACTCGTCACCTGATGCTTTAGCAGCAAGGAAATGAAACATCAGTAAAGGGAGAAAGCTACAGGTCTTTTTGAATGTAATTCAATGTACTTCAGAGAGAGTTATACACTGTAAGCAAATTATATGAGAATTATAGATGTTTATTTTTCTTTCAAATATTGAAAAAAATCTCAGCGTTTGACTACAGGGATGAGAGACCTCTAAAGCAAACTAGGCTGTTACTACACGTAGTGCAAAAGAACCGGTAGGGGGCACTCTTCACTCTAGTTAAGAAGGTCTAAGCTACCAGAGATCCTGGGCTAATCAAAACAGTGAGAGTGTCATTCTCAGTGTCCTAGCTAAATGCTACTCAGAACTTGCACAGTCCGAGGTACCTCAGCTTCCCTTTCTTCCCTTTTAATTTAATCAGTAACACAGCATCTCACTTTCCCACTTGATCTGTTAAACCTACTGTAAAGTAGCACAGAACGGAATTAATTGCGCAAGTTTCTACTGCAGATGTGAAGTTTTCCTCTCAATTCCAATTTCAACACCCTCTTGCCCCTTGGAAAAAGGACAGGCTTACCCAGTGTTCCCTCCTGACCTCGTTCATTATACAAAGAGCAGGTAGCAACATTTTGCAGGACCACATAAAAAGATTTTTGAAGCACCGTTTTTTAAAACATCACCCTTTTGCTTTCTAATTTTTTGGAGATTTTTTTTAAATATGCAGGCGTCTTTAGAAGGTATGAATCAGCCGATAAATAGCCAATAAAAAACCCAAAATGTTTGTGCAGCTGTGAACATTTTTAGCGTAGAAAAGTGTATTTAGGTCTGTGATCCTGTTATCCTCCAAATGTACAGTTCACTTACATTATTAGACAGGTTACATATATTTTAATACAGTACATACACCCATTTAGGCATGTCAAAGTGCTTTATTGTGGAAAGAAATAACTGAGAAATTTTACCGGGTATGTGAAGATATATTTCCATTATGATAAATTTGCTCTACTTTTTTGGAATGTACTGATTTTCCAGAATTACACAATTTTCAGAATTTGATATATTAGATGAATCCATGCTGTATAAACTTTGTTACAAGTGTGGAGCTCCTTATTTTATAAAAATGTTGAAGGAATTATGCTGTTCCCGACTGAACATATATGCAAAGTAGATCCCAGAAACAAGGTACTGTAGCTGATGAAAAAAAATAGGAAAATTGCATTCTTTTTGCAGAAAAAAAGTCAATGCAGGTCAGCCTGTTGCTAGGTAAAGTTTAGCCATGACTTTTGTGTGAAGAGTCATATGACTTAAAGGAAACTCTTCACTTAATTGTAACTTATAAACCAGTTAGGGAAACAACAGATCGACGTAATTGTTTTTTATTTCAAAAACTGTTTACTACACTTAAATGGCATATTTTAAAGATAAAGCTACAGATTATCCTCCAGTACATGGGACTACATTCCCCAATAGTTTAATAATAAATCATTGGGCTATATAAATTATTGATGTTACCCACAAAGTGATTTTGTCTTATCAGGTAATCTCATATCAATCCAGCCTTCATTTTAATTCGGGAACCAAATGAAACTATAGCAGAGGCTTATGCAACCTTAACAGCAGAACACATACCAGGTGGCACCTACAACCAATTATGAGGAAATGAGTGAGGCCATGACTGTTGAAATAAGACGTGCTGCCAAGTGAACAGCAAATGACTTAGATGACTTTAAAAATTCTAATATATGTTAAGACTATGAGCAACCATAATTTAGCCTAAGTTATACTGAAATTACAATCTTCAAAACTCACAATCACAGAAATTTAGTGAACAGCCAAAGTTTTGTACTACCTCATACATGTCATTTTTCCAAATTCATTTGATGATAATGTTAGGTCGTCCTGCTCATTCACATCATTTCTTCCTACACACACAAAAGTCCATGCAAAGATGAGACCATGTTTGATAAAACCTAGACAAGAGCATTGAAAAATATAGTACCAATATTATCTGCACTTACTGAATAATTGCTATGTAACACACCTCCTGGAGACCTTTTTATACTATTATTTTATGCAAATGGAAAGATAAGCCCAGCGTACATACTGAGACATATTTAAATAACCTTGAAATGCTGAACTCAGCAATGACTTAATAGGTTGCAGCTCCTATACGAGCCTGTATTGGATGAAGAGGACAGAAAATAGATGCTAAAGGGTGTTAACGTGATGTGTAGTTATCTTTTAGCACCCTGCCTGTAACAACATGTAAATTCTTCATTACTGTGTTTCAGCACCTTTTTGCAGGGGCTGGTTTTTGTCAAACCATTATGCTTTTGGAGGGATATTTCTTCCTCACAAGACCTCTCACTGTGAGGGAGGATGAAGACATCACTATTAGAATAACGTAATTCAAAAATAATAAAATTGCATTTGTGAAATTTTATAATGTTCCTTTTTGGACGCAGTACCTGCCTTTAGAAGTTGAAAACAAATGTCAATGTAGGAACACCTCTTTCCCCTAGTTCTATTTGCATAACACTATTACTGCAATTGCTGTTACACCTTTTAAACATCTAGTCCATGGCTAAGGCACAAAAAAGTTAAATGTTAAAGTTAAAAAAACATGTTCTATGTAGCATAAATTGCTCTCATGTTTATTTAGAATAGTGCAGGTGACAGCACATTTTGTGCCTATTTTCTGCTGTAAACATTTTAAAACACTGTGATTTCTCTTTGAGATAAAACTAGTGTCCTGCCTAAATCACTATAAATATAAGTAGATTTTTGTCTCAGAATTCAGTCATACGTTAAATAAAGAGGACAACTGTCGTAATGCTTTTCATTTTCTTTGTGTCCACTTATGTGATTATGTGTGGGAGGGGGAGGTATTTTGAGATTTTATAAATGGACATCTTGTATATTAAGTGAACTTTTTTAAGGTTTCAGTTACTGTGTGGGGCAACAACAACAACCATTGACTCGATTCCTTCCAAGAGAGAGGTAAAGTGTTTTTCTTCATTTGAAACTATTGGCGGGTTTTATTCAATGTCTAAACCACATATGGTGTTTTTGAACACTTACCGATATGGTTATTTTTCTTGACGAGTGTTTTGCTAAATACAAAACTAAACATGCATTACAAATACACCTTTTCTGTGCAAAACAATATTTATGAACACGAAGCGTTTCGGCATAGATGGTTAGAGACACAGATATTAAACAGAAACATTCACATTCAGAATTGTAAGTCTAGTGAACTCTTATAGGTCTAGTTGGCTATTTCTGTTTCTCAAGGCAAAGCTATCTGTGCTTTCATTATAGACACAATCGGGACGTTAAGCTGTGATTAAAGTATTCGTTCTTTTGAAGATCTGAAGATGAAGTCAGTGATTCTGCTACTTTGCTTTGTGAGTGTAGCTTTGGCTATGAAGGTAAGTACGGTTATGAAAATCACAGATACATCTCCACTCTCTTAGCATGTAGCATTTTGCTATAATCAACACAATAATGCAATGTGTGTTTTGATCAAAAAGCTAAAAATGTTTTGTTTCTTTGTTTAGGCATTTCACTATCCCTACAAAAGACAAATTTCATCAGGTTGCATCGATGAACGTGGGGTAAAGTGTTGACATTACTCTTGTTATTCTATGTTACCTAAATCTGCAAAACCTCTAACACTGCTTTTTCTAAAGCACTAATTTCTAAACCACTGGTCAAGTCCTGGATTCTTAATTGCTGGCTGATTTCAATTTTTAAAACTAAGGCATACTTCAAAACTTGCTTTTATCTCATACAAGTCTGATTGGGATTTGTAACTGCTAGCAGCCCTGTACAAATTTCTGTGTTTCAGAATTTCTCTCGCTCCGGTGTGTTTTCTCAGATTTAGCTAATCTAACCTGTTCTTCATAACTTCATTACCTATTAACAGCTTTTAAGCATGGACAGAAATAAGGGAACTATTTTTTCCTGAATAAATTGAAGGCACAGTCTATAAAGATCCGCAGGCCAAAGCTGTGCTTTTTTAAAACCAAGGAGTGATTGCAGTTTATTAAATATGTTAGAGCAACAAGGGACATCAACTGATTTGCCACATGCTAATTTGCCAGGAAAATGGGACAAACCTCGTCATAGAATAGATCGT